GCCTCCATCATCTCCAGTACTCCATCACCTCACACCCCTGAGTCTCCTGCATCCCCAGTACTCCATCACCTCACACCCCTGAGTCTCCAGCATCCCCAGTGCTCCATCACCTCACACCCCTGAGTCTCCAGCATCCACAGTGCTCCATCACCTCACACCCCTGCATCTCCAGCCTCCACAGTACTCCATCACCTCACACCCCTGAGTCTCCTGCATCCCCAGTACTCCATCACCTCACACCCCTGAGTCTCCAGCATCCACAGTACTCCATCACCTCACACCCCTGAGTCTCCAGCATCCCCAGTACTCCATCACCTCACACCCCTGCATCCCCAGCATCCCCAGTGCTCCATCACCTCACACCCCTAAGTCTCCAGCATTCCCAGTGCTCCATCACCTCACACCCCCTAGTCTTCTGCATCCCCAGTACTCCATCACTTCACACCCCTGAGTCTCCAGAATCCCCAGTACTCCATCACCTCACACCTCTGAGTCTCCAGCATCCCCAGTGCTCCGTCACACACACACCCCTGTGTCTCCTGCATCCCCAGTGCTCCATCACCTCACACCCCTGAGTCTCCAGCATCCCCAGTACTCTATCACCTCACACCTATGAGTCTCCAGCATCCCCAGTACTCCATCACCTCACACCCCTGAGTCTCCAGCATCCACAGTGCTCCATCACCTCACATCCCTGAGTCTCCAGCATCCCCAGTGCTCCATCACCTCACACCCCTGAGTCTCCAGCATCCCCAGTGCTCCATCACCTCACTCCCCTGAGTCTCCAGCATTCCCAGTGCTCCATCACCTCACACCCCTGTATCTCCAGCATCCCCAGTGCTCCATCACCTCACACCCGAGTCTCCAGCATCCCCAGTGCTCCATCACCTCACACCCCTAAGTCTCCAGCATCCACAGTGCTCCATCGCCTCACACCCCTGCATCTCCAGCCTCCACAGTATTCCATCACCTCACACCTATGAGTCTCCAGCATCCCCAGTGCTCCATCACACACACCCCCCCTGAGTCTCCTGCATCCCCAGTGCTCCATCACCTCACACCCCTGAGTCTCCAGCATCCCCAGTGCTCCCTCACCTCACACCCCTGAGTCTCCAGCATTCCCAGTGCTCCATCACCTCACACCCCTGTATCTCCAGCCTCCACAGTATTCCATCACCTCACACCCGAGTCTCCAGCATCCCCAGTACTCCATCACCTCACACCCCTAAGTCTCCAGCATCCCCAGTGCTCCATCGCCTCACACCCCTAAGTCTCCAGCCTCCACAGTATTCCATCACCTCACACCTCTGAGTCTCCAGCATCCCCAGTGCTCCGTCACACACACACCCCTGTGTCTCCTGCATCCCCAGTGCTCCATCCCCTCACACCCCTGAGTCTCCAGCATCCCCAGTGCTCCATCACCTCACACCCCTGAGTCTCCAGCATCCCCAGTGCTCCATCACCTCACACCCCTGAGTCTCCAGCATCCACAGTGCTCCATCACCTCACACCCCTGAGTCTCCAGCATCCCCAGTGCTCCCTCACCTCACACCCCTGAGTCTCCAGCATCCCCAGTGCTCCATCACTTCACACCCCTGAGTCTCCAGCATCCCTAGTACTCCATCGCAGCTTATGCTTCACCCATGCAGTTTCACTCACATCCTATCCAGGGGCTTCCAGAGACTCCAAACTTGTGGATTTCTGACCTCTCAGGGCTTCCTTGAAATCTGGGTGGAAGCTCTCATGACCCCAAATCTCTTGTTGAGTAAACAGCACCCAGGGTGTGATGCCATAGCTGTCATGGCTCTGGGCCCCTGGGTGCTGTGCACAATAAAATATTTCCTGTGGAAATAGCTTCCCAGACCCTCTGCAGGGCAGGGTGCCTCTTCCCAGGGGAAATCTTCCCACATTTGCTTCCTTACACCCTTGGGTGGAGACCGGTCAACTTCTGAAATGCACGGATGTGTCCCCTGCTGCCCCATGTGTGGACACATTTGGCTCCCTTCTGGAGGGACGGAGCCCTTCTGAAATCAGACCTTCCTTGTTCCCCGGCTTTGCACACACTTCTTTTCTAGCCAAACCGTAAGATTACAGAAACCTTTCCGACCTGAGCTTTCCCCACATTCTCCCCGTGACTCTGAGTAGAACAGCCCTCAAATTCCTGCCATATCCTGAAAATCAGGCTGCCTTAACATTTCCTCCACCCAATCAATTAGGCCATTGTGTTAAAGTCAGCCTCTCACTCTGTCCCAGGACTTGGACAAAATAGAAACAAGTTCCCTGCCAGGATGTAACACAAACTCCCTCTCGTCCAACACCCACAGAACCCCTTCCCCCAGAAACTTGCTGAGCACCATCTCTCCTGTCCATGCTGCAGTCAGGGTCTTGCTATTTTGGCTCTCACCAGAGTTGCCCGTTCAGCTCTGCTTCTATATCTCAGGGGATCACTAGCCCGTGTCTGCTTACTGCTCAAAATCATTCGTGAAAACCTCTTCCACAGGCTTAAGATCCCTCGGTCACACCAATGATCACACGTCTCTGCTTCCAATTTTCTATGTTAGTCACTGTTTTGGGTCACAGTGACAAATTTCTCAAAAACAAAGATTTTGGCTTAGGATTTCGGACGCTCCAGTTCGCTGTTGTTTGGCCCAGGGATTAGCCAGGCCCTTGGTGGTGGGAGCGTGTATGCGGTGGTACATTGGTCAGGTCATAGTGGACAGGAAGCAGGGAATGAGGAACCACCTTCAACCTTCAAAGGAGTGACCTACCTCCTCCAGCGAGGCTCCACCTCCAACATTTCCAGAACCTCCCAAAATAGTACCACCAGCTGGAGACCAAGAATTCAACACATGAATATTTCATACATAAAAGTCTAACAACAAATGTATGTGTTTCAGTGACATTGTGTGTTAACTTTATAAGGCTCTGTAATAATATCATCATCATCATCAACATCAACATCATCATCATCATTTGACCATGTCACTTATTAACTGTTTTCAGTAACTTTATTTTAGGGGCTGCTCTGTATTCAGGTGACAGGACAGTCCCCATCCCACGCCATCTTAGCTTTTATCTACACAGAATGCATTGCTCTATGTTTCTTTTCTGTGTCCTCAGCTACAATGGGGGTTCCAGCTGGGTTCTCCATTGCTCTATCCAAAGAACAAAGAATAATGTGCAGCATGTAACAGACAGCTAGCATGCATCCACTCCAGGAAATGGATTGGATGCTAGTAGGCATTTTATGTACTTATGGCACAGCTTATACCTATCTCTATATTTGTTCCTTTAGTTGAGGGAAAATTTCTCAACTCAATGTTGATGATAACATATTTGGGTATGCATGAGTAGTCTTTGATACGTGCTTAGTACTCAGAGCTACAATAGTGTATTATACAATGGTATGAGAGAACAAAATTTCTGTACTTGAATGCTTTTTTACATTCATTTTCATGGTAAATGGTAGTACTGTGTGTGAATGTATATTATAAATATTATATGTATATGTGTATGTGTATGGTTACTATGAGCTTTTATTCTCATGAATTAAAATATTTTCTTGTTCATTACTGACCACTTACAGTTTCAATTCACTGTTCCTCTTCCTTGTTGATGTTACCTTTCTTATTTCTGTGTTAGGTTTTTCTGATCATTCTATTTTTGCTACCTTTCAATATTTTTTTTGTTTTCATTTGTCACTTAGTTGTATTAGGATGCTTTTGATGTATAAAAGAATATATTTGTATCTAGTTGACTCTTTACAACTTCTAGAATTTTATGCACAGAAATTATGTCCTAATTTTGTATGAGTGGCCACCTCCGATCACAAAGTAATTATTTTTATTTTTTTCCCAGTCCTGGGATTTGAACTCAGGGCCTGAGCACTGTCCCTGAGTTTCCTTTGCTCAAGGCTAGCTCTCTACCACTTCTGGCCTTTTCTGCATATGTGGTACTGAGGAATTGAACCCAGGGCTTCATGCATGCTAGGTAAGCACTCTACCACTGAGCCACCTTCCCAGCCCTGCAGGGTTCTTTCTAAATGGAATCCATGGTAACATTGAGGTGTGAGCGGCACCCTGAGCCACCCAGGGCGGATTCCAGTTGGGCCCAGCAGTGAACAGGACCCAGGGCAGACCGCATGGGCACCTCCTGCGGACGGGGCTTTGGGCCCCACGCAGTGACACACGAAGGCGAGAAGCCCACGTCACAACTGGAAAAGGCCACTCTGGCCTGCACCTGTGCTCTCGAAGCCTGTCTTAATCTCCCCTTCCTGATGTTTTGCCATCTGTCAACATGCCTTCCTCCTCAGAAAGAGGCAGAGGTGGGGATGAAGTTTTCGCTGCGTTTGGTGTGTCTCCTCGTTTGTCCCGCAGGCTCCTCACCCGCCTCCCACGGTCCCTGTTTACTCCTCTGCCTCGGTCTACAAAGCATGCTTTATTGCCTTTATTAATCCCTCCGCCGACACTGCCTCAAACTCTATTATTCTTCAAGAAAATTAGAGCAATTTTTAAAAGTCTCGTTATTTTGAACAGCAAAATAACCAGAAGCGTCTTCCAGCGCCCATGTCCTCCCCGAATCCATTCTCCCCCGAGTCTCACGCTGCAGGACTTGGCTGCGTTCACAGACTTGAACTTGGGACCTTATTCACTAGCAAGAAGAAGTGTGGAAGGGCGGGAAGAGCAGGAGGGCGCTGGACCGTCCTGGGGTGAGCGCAGTGGAGCGTCAGCTCCAGTCCCAGCTCCGTTTCTCCTCTCGGAGCCCCGGGCTCAGTCCCTGTTCTGTGAGACGCACTGTGACTTGCCTCTCCACCGACTCCTTGAGCCTCGTCTAGGCCTTCACTGAGCGGTGGCTGCTGGTGGGGTCGGGCGCAGGCCGGAGCCAGGCTGGCGGAGACGCCTCTAGTCCGGCTCTCTCCAGGACGTGCTAGCTATGCTTCTGTGGTCCGAGATTCGGACTGAGTGTATCACGTTGCATCTCAGGCTAAGCCTCGCTGGTACCATGAGGAGAGTTAAACGCGGCCGTCGGGGACACTGTCCCTCATGGACGGAGCTCCGGCCCGTGCCGTGGAGGCCGCCCTGCGGGGCTGCTGGCCCTCGCGCCGTGGGCAGCACAGAGTCATCGCCGTCCCCGCCGTCCACGTCCACCAGATCTACCGAGTGGCACCCTTGGTGGCAGCTCCAGGCGCAGTTCCTGTCACAGGGGGCAGGGCTCCTATAGAGAGAGACCCGTGGGTTCGTGTTTGTGGGCGGTCTGCGCGGTGGCGGCGGGGACGCGGGGAGGCCGTGCACCCGGCCTGCATCCGAAGAGCGGATGCCCCTCTCCCGCTGCCCTGGGCCCTGCCCTTCGGAAGAAGAAGCCTGAGGCTGGAGCGAGGCTTGTTTAACTCACCGTTCTGGAGGCTGTTGGTGGCACTGGGGACCGTCCCCTCGAGCATGTGGTGAGGCGGGAAGCGGGAGCCGCGGGAGGCGCCAGGCTCCTGGCTCCATCGCCACCCTGCGGTCCTGCGAGGAGTGAGCCGTGTCCCCAAGAGCTCCCAGTCTCTCTGAGGCCACCACCTGAGGTCTCCCCACTAGAGCTCCAGCCGCCGCTAACCGCACGGCCCCGGGACCCACACCCCAGCATAGGGTCCCCCGGGGACACTCACATCACCTCCAAACCGCAGCACGAGCCTTGGCCTCCACGGATGGTCTGCAGGCCCCACAGAGGACACACACCTCCTCTAAACAGAAGCCAGCCTGGTGCCCTCCCCGGGGACAGGCCTCCAGGGGGGACAGGCCTCCTGGGGGACATGCCTCCCAGGGGGACAGGCCTCCCTCAGGGGACAGGCCTCCCGGGGGGACAAGCCTCTCTCGAGGGTGCCCAGAAGGCCCATCTACACCCCAAGGTGCTCCACAGCCAAGCTTCCAGATGCAGACTCCACAGCTGCCCTCTGCCCTGCGGGGGAGGGGGGCAAAGGGAGGAGCCTGGGGTTGGCCTGGAGCAGGGCAGGCTCAGGCTAGCACTGGCTGCCTGGGTGACGGCCCGCTCCTTAGAACGGCCGGCCCTGCGGGGTGACGGCCATCGGCCTGCCTCCCGTGGGGCAGGGCAGTCCCGAGACCTGGGGGACCGAGCGCCTGGAGCCACCTGAGCACAAGGCAGACTCCGCCCCCCGCCCGGGGCTATGCTCCGCCTCTCTCTAACGGGGCATGCCTGCCTGGGACCTTGAGCTCCCAAAGGCAGGGCCACGCCACCCTGCAGGAGGCTGACGCAGCAGTGAGCTGCCCTGGTCTCCTGGAATGGTACTCAGAAACCATGATCGGAAGGGAAGCATTGTGGTTCTGGAACATTCTTTACATTGGCTGTTCAACAGAAAGGGACACATGTGTGTGTGTACATCTGCCATGCATGCGTACTTTTGCTCACAAGTGTGTGAGCAGAGCCCAGGGGTAGGTGAGTGTGTACATGCATGGAAGTGTGCACTATGCAGCGTGTGTGTGTGTGAGAGCGGCACGTGTGTGAGCCATTCGTGTACATGCATCATGCGAGCTTTGCACACATGGAGGTGTACACATGTGCACTGTGCAGCATGTGCGTGTGTGAGAGCAGCACCTGTGTGAGCCATTTGTGTACATGCATCATGCGAGGTTTGTGCACATGGAGGTGTACACGTGTGCACTGTGCAGCGTGTGCGTGTGTGAGAGTGGCACGTGTGTGAGCCATTCGTGTACATGTATCATGTGAGGTTTACACACATGGAGGTGTACACATGTGCACTGTGCAGCGTGTGCGTGTGTGAGAGCAGCACCTGTGTGAGCCATTTGTGTACATGTATCATGCGAGGTTTGTGCACATGGAGGTGTACACGTGTGCACTGTGCAGCATGTGCGTGTGTGAGAGCGGCACGTGTGTGAGCCACTCGTGTACATGTATCATGTGAGCTTTGCGCACATGGAGGTGTACATGTGTGCACTGTGCAGCGTGTGTGTGTGTGAGAGCGGCACCTGTGCGAGCCATTCGTGTACATGCATCATGTGAGGTTTGCACACATGGAGGTGTACACGTGTGCACTGTGCAGTGTGTGCATGTGTGAGAGCGGCATGTGTGTGAGCCATTCGTGTACATGTATCATGTGAGCTTTGTGCACATGGAGGTGTACACATGTGAACTGTGCAGCGTGTGCGTGTGTGAGAGATGCACGTGTGTGAGCCATTTGTGTACATGTATCATGTGAGGTTTGCACACATGGAGGTGTACACGTGTGCACTGTGCAGCGTGTGCGTCTGTGAGAGTGGCACGTGTGTGAGCCATTTGTGTACATGTATCATGTGAGCTTTGCGCACATGGAGGTGTACACATGTGCACTGTGCAGCATGTGTGTGTGTGAGAGTGGCATGTGTGTGAGCCATTCATGTACATGTATCATGTGAGCTTTGCACACATGGAGGTGTACACGTGTGCACTGTGCAGTGCGTGCATGTGTGAGAGCGGCACGTGTGTGAGCCATTCATGTTCATGCATCATGCAAGCTTTGCGCACATGAAGTGTACATGTGTGCACTGGGTAGGGTTGTGCGTGTGGGCACCATGTGAGCTATTTTGATGTGTGTTTCTCACAAACCGGGCAGCACATGCGTGGATGGACAGAGGCACAGGTGCCGACTCGGGTGGAAGGCTGGCACAGTCCTGTGCTGTGCCGGCTCTGGAGAGAGAGCCGGCCGGGCCGGTGCTGAGCACGTGGTGAAAACTCTCTGAGCTCTTGAGGGCAGACAGCAGACATCACGCATGCTGAGCCCGGGCCCACAGCAAGAGCAGAGCGCAGAAGGGCAGAGGGCGCAGAAGGGCAGAGGGCACCGAGGCCCCAGAAGAGCAGAGACCATCACTGGCGGGGGTCAGCAGGACTGCGACCCGCCTCGCAGGTGTCACGCCAACCCAGGGACCCGCGGCGTCTGCCACCTCATCCGCAGATGCCGAGGCGTGGGATTAAGAATGCCCAGATGGGAGGTGGCCCGGAGTTACCCCGCAGGGCAAGACGTGAAGACAGGCCTTGGAGCAGGGAGGGATTTGTAAGTGTAGCTGGTCTGGAGGGCGGAGGACAAGGACAGAAGAGGGACCGCTCGGTCTTCTCTGCGTCTCCTTGGAGACTCCAGGGAGAAGCTATGTCTTACCTCCAACTCTGGAGGCCTGTGGTTCTTCC